GTCTTGAAGCTGGCGATGTAGGATGTGATGTCACCCGTTTGTTTCAACGTTCTTAGTTTGTTCATGGCGGGTACCGACGGCGTCGGCAGGTACGAATGCTTCTTTGAACTTTGTTTCAAAGTTCGCGAAGGTCCCGTAGGTCTTGGCGGCGGTGTTGTCGACTTCGGTGTAGAAGGTGAGTGCCCAGCCCATAGCACTGTCTTCTGTCATATATGCAAGGGCGGTAATGACTTTCTTTTCATCGGTGTTGTAAATCGTAGCGTTGAGCGCAAAATACGCTTTTAACGCATACAACCATCGTAGTGCCTGATGAGGGCTCCCGTCGTAGGTGGACGGGGCTCCGGCTTTCAATTCTGGGATATTGACGGTGGTAGACATCCTGAGCGGATGTTTTCTTGGTCAGGGGAACGTTTCTCGTTCTCTCGCTGAGTTCTTTCTTGTTTCTGTTATAACCTCTTTGATGAGAGGGTCGAATGGGACTTTAATCTTTTGTTACGGTAAACCGTAGGTCGACTAGGATGGGCTCGACAATAGACACTCGATAAGAGTGACGTCTAAAGCCGGATCGTTAACCTCACAAATGTAAGGGTCTTCTAAGACAAGTTGGAGAGAGTGTCTCCGACTTGAATATCGATATCAGACGCTTAAAGATTGGGGGTCTTTAAGCGAGGGATGTTCTGGGTAAAACCTAGTAGATTAAAGTGAGTACTATCTAAGTACAAGACCTGCTTATATAGGTAAGGCCTACTTTAGGGTAGGTAGGTATACGTCATCAAGACGAGTCAGAGATAAGAGAAATGACGTCATCAAGACGAGTCAGAGATAAGAGAAATGACGTCATCAGGACGAGTCAGAGATAAGAGAAATGACGTCATCAAGACGAGTCAGAGATAAGAGAATTGGTAAGCTAACGATGGCGTGGAGCGGTCGTGCTGTAATACATGTGACGAGACAAGTCTAATGATGGCACGATGTCGTGCGGTCATGACGTAATACACGGAAGAGTTAAGAAAATGATATAGGGGCAACCGTAACCGTAACAGGCATCCTATAAACTGTACTCTACAGTCACAACTACCATCACATCAACATTTCAAGCCTCTCCCTGACTCTGAATCTATAGAAATTGGGGATCACATAGAAGTCCTTGTGGGACAACACATAGGGAAACAGGGCATCATGACCATTCCTCCTCATGGAGGAACCGATCTGTGGTTCCAGGATGAGTCTCTCCAAAACTTCATTGCAGGTGCTACAAAGTACTATTTAGGACCACCAATTATTCAAGTTCCTGTGGCAACTATTTGGCAGATGCACCTACCCCAGACAATCAAATTCACAAGGGAAAAAGGTTATGACATCAAGCCTGGAGATGTCATAGAGGTTGCTCACAGCCCAGAGTATCAGATGAAAGGAATTGTGCAAGGTGTTGACTTTCCAAAGGCACACCTTACACTATTGTCTGAGAGTGATCACTCTATCATAAGTGAAATTTGACTTGACTCAGTCATATCTGAGTTGTAATAGGTTGACGTTCCAATTGGATTTGTAATGAAAATACTCAATGTGTCATTGGATTCTTTTAACAAAGTCATTGGCCAAGAGGTGTTCATGGTTAGAGGTGACCAGAAGGGTTTCCAAGCCATGTTGTATGGCATTGGGAGTGGGAATTGTACCATTGCTATCAATGGGCAGGCACGCACCACACTCAAATGCCAAGATGTTGTGACCAGGTGAGCAGCGCACACATTGTTGTGGTCATCTGGTAATTGCTCACAGTTGTTAAAATATGGGATGAGGTTAAACAGTGTGATGTTAAAAGAATCAGACTTGATATCATTTTGTGACATGTGCAAAAGGTCTTACTTGATGTCACAACCATGAAGATGCATCACACCCCCTCATGTCTCAGTTCCCTCCAACTCATCCAGTTCTGTTGGCACAGATTCCAACCCATCATCATCCCAGTGGACTGCCTGGAATGTCAGCCAGGATATAAATGTTGCAAACAATCCTCTGTCAGCAGCTGATCTCAGCTCATTAAAATCTGACCCATGGACTGTTGATGCACAGGACATTCAGGATAGCATCAATGCCAGAGTGGAGAAACTCAAAGACAATGGTGAGTACCCCACAAATGTATCACAACAACTTTTTACTCATTTTACTGTAGGGCCTCTACCTTGGTTCATGAGCAAAGAGTTCTCTTCACACTTTCTTACATATCATGCAATGTTCACAGTCTCACCAAGCTTCAGCCATGCCAAGTTCTACAAATGGTTTGTATCAACAGCCTGTCCTGAACCCTTCTGTGGTGCTAACAGACCCACACCTGAGGATCGCATTGCAGTCTTTTGTACATCTAGTTGTGCAGGTGCTGCGCTTGAACACTACCATATCCCTGCCTGGTATCTGAGCCCAGCTCCTCCACACAAAAAACAACAACAATGCCTCATTCTAGATAGTGATTCTCATGGTCAGATACTAACTATTTCAAACTGTAGTGTTGCAAAAAAAACTGCTCAGTTTGTGACTAAGCATTCCACTACCATTACCTTATGTTTTTATCAGATATGTCTTGTGCAATGTGCATGACACATTATGTAATAAACCATGCATACTATACATCAGTCTAGAATTCTGGACACCATTAGTTTGGGTGGACACCAATGGCTTGCAGGTCATATTTGTGGAGAATACAAGTGACATGTCCATATACTCAATGCAAATACTTGCTCTCACACTACACATTCCTCACTCAATAGTTATTTGTACCCTTTGCTACATAGTTTGCGAGCTTGGTTTTGATTCCTTAGGTCCTTAGTTTGTAGTTGAGCCATCAAGATACTTAGATGTCTGAGCTTATGTGAGCATAGATAGTGAAATAAAATACTCTCCATCCAACATGACCAAGGTAAAACACCCGCTAACATCAAAGTTGTGGACTTCCAATTACAGCTTGTGGTCTGTAAGTTCTATCTATTTGCATGTTGCGGGTAAATGCAACATGTCTTGTCAGATGGGTTACCTATCTACTGCAGACTCCAATTCAATGATGAGGATTCTGGGTGCTCACTCACAATAGAAGATGTTATTATTATTGTGAAGCAACTTACACCACTTGAAGTGAAGGAGCAACTGTTGAAGCAAATCAGACACAGTATTACTGATAAAAGCTGGCAGGTGCAATGGCCCCAACATATTTCAATGAGGTGTGTCCCCAATGCTGGATTTTATGTCTCTGAGTGACAAGTCACATCAGCATTTAGCTCGCAGAAGCTATCAGCACAGAACTGGTCAGGGAGGAGTTAATAGGGCAATGTGTGCAGCTTCTGAAAGATAATGAGGCAGAAGCATGCACAGCAGCTGCAGACCAGATCCTAGGTATGGTAATCAATGTCACCACATAATACTGCTTGATTTCACCCTTGAATTTCAGGATTTTCAAAACTGCTTGAGAAGAAAGTCATCCTTGCACACCATCATGCCTTGTGTGCATGACCTCTCACATGACATGTCTGAGCACGTGTGAGCCACTCTTGCAAACCATGTCAGTGGCCTTGCACTGCTCTTGGGTAGAGATGCTACTATTGAGCATCTCTTATCCCTGTCCCTTCATCTATTAAAGGTCAAATTTTGGCTCAATGTCATCAGTAAGCTTGAGACTGTAAATAGTGGTAAGGTCCCTCCCTGTTTTCATGTGATTGACTCTCTGAAATTGCTATTATTAGTCATTGATATCAAACTCCTATCTGATAGTCTTCCCATCATCATTGAGCTTGCAAAGAATAAGCCATGGTGTGTCAGGCAGGCTATCACAAATATATCCCTCTTCTCACAACACAATTCGATAAGCCTTTCTTTGATGAATAGCTCAGGAACCTGTGCATGTCCTGGTTGGGTGACACAGTCTTCAGTATATGTGAATTTGCACCCATGAACCTCAAGAAACTGACAGAAGTCTTCAATGTTGATTGGGCAAAGGTTCAGATTGTCCCCAAGGTCATGGATATGGAGTAACATCCAAATTACCTCTACAGGATGACCACCATGGAAGTGATCACAGTACATGCTCATCTTTACTAGGCTGCAGCGATTTGAGTGGATCTTCAAATTGTAGACTATCACACCTTCCCTAAATCCTGCAATGGGTCAAGCTGAGATTATCAGGCTGCTCTTGCAACTTACTGAAAACCCCATCCTGAACATCTGTTTCAATGTCACCAAGTCTCTAGAAAATCTTGCAACTACATATAGAAATACTATGGAGGGTCGTGAATTTGTCTGCCAAAGCATTGTTCTGGCACTAGAGCAACAAAAAACATATTCTGATGCAGACATGATGTGCTAGTGAATGTGTTAGGCAAGTGTTGAAAGCATGAGAAAATCATGTGCATTGACCTATGTAACACAGGTTGATTAGGTGAAGGTCTTTGCAGTCTGCACATACCTCTCCCCTTTGAGTCTTTTTCTTGCACTCACTGGCATGAACATTCCAAGAGAATATATAGTATTGTAGCTTCTTTTGTGCTTGATGAATTATGAGCTGCATACAAAACACTGCCTATTATGCTCCCCATACTAATGCATAGCACATCTAATTACATGAAGACTTTTTTCATTGATTGTTGTTAGTCTACCACACACAACGTGCACTGAGTCTTCCTTAAACTATGTAGATAATGTGTTTGATACCACATGATCAGGCTCCCAGCAAGAAAATGTTTTGTACATATGGGTCCAAGGTTGCAATACAAGTTCTTGCATCTCCATCTTGCTTTTTTAATGTTATGAGACACAGGAGCCACTGTTGCCAGATTTGATAGACAAGCTGATAAAGAGGTGTGTTTCACCTTAGAGTTTTTGAGAATGAAACATGATCAGTGTCACAGCCACTTCATAAATGTTAGGTTATACTACCTTCAACAACTGTTTTTGTTTGATCTCAAAGTACATGTGGATAAAGGTTGGATGCATGTGTTATTATCATTTTGGATTGCAGGACTTATGGGATATTGCACAGAGGCTGCAGATTATATCAAACTCAGGAATGACCTGCATAAGTCAATCTCACTTGTGAAAGGGGGCAAAGCCCAGCCAGGACAAGGCACCTTTGGACATATCATCAGTGGCTATGATGCAGGGTACTATGGGTGAGTCATGTGATCGTTGTATTCTGATGGGACACTGACTGAAACTGACACCTTGGGTGAATGTGATAACCAGGTACACTACACATACTCTCTCATGTTTGCCACAGACATGTATGAGACAGTTTTCAAGCAGGATTCATTGAACCCTACTTTGTGAAAGCTTTACAGGGATAAGATTCACCTAGTGGGAGGTAGTCAGGATGAAAGGGACTTGCTTTAGGTGCATTGCTATCTTCACAATCCAATCTGAGGACAGTAGCTCACATGATGGAACAGGATTTCCTGGGTCAATCACCAAACTCAGATGCATTCTTAGAGGAAAATTTTGGGATAGTTGCCAATGCAAGCCTCTAAAGAATGAGTCAAAGCAGTGAGGTCCTTGTTATGAACTTGGATAGAGCGTCATTCCAATAAAGGAATCAGGATCGGGGTCGATCAAGGACTGAGCTTTATCAAGTCAATGCCTCCCTCAGGAGTGATCACTTAGACTCCCGCAGGATCTAAGGTTCAAATGGGACAAAGGCTAGCCTCCTTCCCAAGGAGCTAGAGTTCGAGTATCAAGGAGAACTGAGTAGATTCAAGTTAGAGAAAATACAAGTGGTAACTAGGGTTTATATACGTAAGGGAATCATGCACAGACCAGGCTGGGCAAAGGGTAATGACTACTAAGAAAGGAAGGTTCATGGGAAAACAAGGTATGAGTCAAAGATAAGGGAGACCATGAGGAAACAGTGCAGTGAAAAGGAAGTGTTAGAAGTACAGCCATATAGGAGTCCACAGTGATGATGAGAAAAAGAGTGGGGCACTGTAACATTACCCCCCTGTCAACGTCTAAAGTCACCAACTTTAGTCACTGAGATTCTGATAGTTGTTGGGATCAAAGTCAGCGTCCTTTGCAAACTGCTTCTCATGCTCCTCTTGTTCAAGATCTTTTTGGTCTTTGTAGATCTTAAGCTGGTGATGGAAGGCCCACAAGCCAGGTTTGGCATTAATGATATGACGTCCTCGAAGGGTAGGACAGTAAGTGGTAAGGTGCTTGGGAGCATGGTGGTGGCATTCTCGGCAGAAGTAGCGAGGACAATGGATTTGACGATGTCCTTCCTGCTGGCAGTATTGGCAGAAGTAGCGAGGACAATGGATTTGACGATGTCCTTCCTGCTGGCAGTATTGGCAGATGATGTCATAATAATCTATGCCATTCCTATCACATCAAAAAGTTTCTTCAGATGGGGCGTGAAAGTCAGAGGAAGAGGCAGGTTTATCTTCATCAACAATGATGGGTGGAGCAGGGGATGGTGTCATGGGACGAGAGAGGCCTATTCCAAAGGCAACAGTGTTTCTTTTCTTACCATGAGTGCAGTGTGGGTTTCCTGCAGAGTGGACTGCAAGCTGAGAGGGGGCGGGAACAGGAGTGTCATCATCAGAAGATTCTGATGGAGATCTGGGAACTTCTTGGGTGGTGAAACAAGGGGGTTCAGTGGAAACAGAGCATTCTAGTTTGACCATATCTGGGGTGAGAGCTTGCTCAAACCCTTTTTCTATAAGTCTGTCTGCAGCAAGTGCTTTAATCTTGGTCATGTGATAAATGATGGAACACTTGGTGGTTTCTTCAGTGGGGGCTGTGATGGTATGGGCATAGCTAGATGCCAGGTCTGCACTGCAATGGATGGTCATCAAAGAGAGGGAATCGATGTCTTCAGAAAAGAAGTGATCTAATGGTAAAACACAGGGAAGAGAAGAAAGGGTCAATTCAACAAGAGCTCACTTGTGGTGAAGTTCGAGCTGAGAGCAGTGAAGTTCAAGAGAAGAGTTTGAGGATCGCAAAGAAGACATATTTCTGGGATCAGGTTTCTAGGTAAGGAGTCAAGAGAGTCGAAGGCAATCTTTATAGGTTTTGAGGATTTCCTGGGCATTGTCTAGTTCCTTTTCAGGGAGCCAGGAGTTATCTGAAGAAGGGTAACCCTTCCATGATACGAGGAAGCATCAGTTTTCCTTTTATGTTTCCCTTATGGGCAAGAACAGCTTCTATTTCATATTCTTCTTGTCCATTGATGATGTCAGGAGGGGGTTCAGTGTGGTTCGGGCCGTGGACTTCTGTTTCCTGATAGGAGGATAACTCAGAAGCAGTGAAAGACAGGGTGTGATTTCCAGGAAGTAGGGAGTTGGATCTTGAATGTGATAGGGGAGAGAATGGCTTCTACTGTGAAAGGGCCATAGCGTTTAGGGGCAAGCTTCTTTGAGGGTAGCCCGGTGATAAGGTTCTTTGCTGATAACCAAACTTTCTCACTGATCTTCCAGGGTTCAAACTTCTTTCCAAAGGTCCAATCAGACATGCATTGCATGGCAAGATTGTGACAAGAGATGGCTTCTTCTCAGATCTTCTGAAGATATTTGACTTGATCTTCTGCTGCAGGGACAGCAGAGTTTGGGAGAATATAGGGGATTCCTCAGGGTTCATAACCCATCATGAGGTGGAAAGGGGAGACATTGTGGGCATCATGCTTTCGGTGATTGTGGACAAATTCAGCCATGGGTAGATGTTTTACCCAATCAAGAGGAGTGGAGTGACAGTAAATGTGGAGGTAGGTTTCGAGTTCCTGATTTAGACATTCAGTCTGTCCATCAGTTTGCGGGTGGTAGGCGGTGGAAAGTGCGACTTCATAGTCAAGGAGTCTTCCAAGTTCTTTGGCAAATTTAGAGGCGAATTGGGGTCCTCTGTCAGAAATGATCTTGTCATAAAGTCTGAATCTGAGAAAGACTTTCTTGAAAAAGAGTTGGGCGACTCCTTCTGATGTAATAGTTTTCTTGCATGGTGAGAGAATTACCCCCTTCATAAGGCCATGGTCTACCATGACCATAACCAAATCAAAACCACCTGATTCAGGCAAGTCAGTGATTAGATCAACAGAGATTTGTGAGAAGGGGTGAAGCGCAGAGGAAGGTATAGGGTTCAAGGGTGGATTGGAAGGATGAGTGTCGGATTTCATTTGCTGACATAGGGTGCAACCTTCGACATATTTGCAGATAAATGTGCCCATTCTGGGCCACCAATAGTCTCGTTTGACTAATTCTTCAGTCTTAAAGTGTCCTGGGTGTCCAGTGGTGGGATGATCATGGTGAAGGTGGAGAATGCAGTGTCGGAGATGAATGGGGATGTAAGCACAGTTTTTATAAAACAAAGTGCCATCACCAAACCTCCAATCAGAGAGGGCAGATTTCATAGGGGGTGCGTTTAACCCATCAAGGGCTTGTTGCACAGCAAGGATGACTGGATCAGAGAGGGGATCCGTGGATTTCAGGGCATTGGCGAGGTCATTGTCAATAAGACAGGAAAACATGGTGTCTGGAAGTAGTGTGACATCAGAGTTATCCGAGGGATCAGAAGAGTGGTCAGGACAGTGTGAAAGAGCATCAGGAGCAGCAAGTTTGCTTCCTGGGACATGGTGAAGTTCAAGATCAAATTCATTCAGAGTTAACTGCCAATGTGCTTGTCGGCAAGTGAGGTTCTGTGCAGAGCGGAAATAGAGGAGATTCTTGTGATCAGTGAAAATGACAACAGGATGAGGATTTCCTTCAAGGTAGTGTCACCATGCTTTCAAAGCATGGATGATAGCGAGGAGTTCACGATCATAGATCTGATAGTTTCATTCAGTGGGGTTAAAGGATTGAGAGAGATAGCCACATGGGTGGTATGCGCCATTCTCATCAGTCTGAAGGAGAACTGCTCCAGTGGCAACCAGTGAAGCATCAGTTGTGAGGGCGAATTGTCGAGAGGGATCGGGGTTACAGAGGACAGGTTCTGATAAGAAACATTGCTTCAGTTTCTCAAAGGAGTCAGTGCATGATTGTGACCAAGTGAAGACAGCA